TTTCGTCGCACGGTTTAGTATTAGGAAGCGTTTTTGCAATGCGCCCTAAATTCGGACATAGGCTTTTACATGCAAAAGTGACTACTGTCCGAATTTACGGCACGTTAAAAGCGATCTTTAAGCAGTTCTGGCGACTAAACTATACCAGATAAGAAAATTTGGACGGTAGGGTAAGGTCAAATTTTTTCATGAAGTTTCTCTACCCCCCCAAAAATTTTCACTTTTCATAATTTTTCAAAGCTGTCCGAATTTAGGACGCATTGGTTCCTAAATACGGACACGATTCAAAGAGCCCTCACCCCTATACCGTTCGCGCGAAAAAATATTTTCGGAGAGTGGTAGGTGCGTCTCGACGTGAGGATTCTAGAATCCCCAGCGATTTTTCATATTTCAAAAAATCTAGGTGTCACAGGCGTTTTTCCTCAAAAACCGTCCGAATTTAGGGACAATGACTGTATACGCGCCCTGAAAATATTGCTCGCTGTACACTCCCCGACAAGATCTCCGTGCGGCTGGACTGTAGAGTTGGACCGACACAAACGGCCCACGTCCTTCGGACGCATTGTTCCGCGCGCGGCCCTTCTATACTATGATCGCGCGCGTGAGTACTTCGCGTAGCAAAACGCGTGACCACAGCGCGCACGTGCGACCGACACGCGAATCGCACAGCCACCTCTGGTTTCCGCTTTTGGCCGAAATAAATGTCGGACGACAAAGCGGTGCATGTTTACTGGCTGCTTTGGTTGTCTGGAGGAGAGGATTCCCCCCTTCTCTTTCGCACTACTACTGGTCGATGCTGACGCACAGTGCTTTTTTCCTGCTCGAGGTGTACATGACATGGCAACAAGCAGACGTTCGCCCATCTCCTCTCCTCGGCGTCCCCGCGGTGCTCACGAGCAGAGGCCCACGATGAGGCTCGCGGCTAATGATATATTGCCGCGTCCATAAAACGACCACACCCCCACGGGGCTCTCGCGGGCAATCACTAGAGGAGTCTGGAGCCTGAAGCCTGGAGCCAGGAGCCTGGAGCCTGGAGCCTGGAGCCTGGAGCCTGGAGCCTGGAGCCTGGAGCCTGGAGCCTGGGGCCTAGGGCCTGGAGCCTGGAGCCACGAGTCAGGAGCCTGGAACCTGGAGCCTGGAGCCAGGAGCCTGGAACCTGGAGCCTGAAGCCTGGAGCCTGGAGCCTGGAGAGCAGCCTGAAGCCATAAGCCTAGCGCCAGGAGCCAGGATCCTGGAGCTATAACCCACATACAACGGGTCCAATGAGCGCTTGAGCCGAAGGCTCCAGGACACCGGGGGGACTCGAACCCGCGACCAGCCCGATACGCTGAAGTGCGCGCGGAGAGATTGATGCGCCTGGTTCAAATACCAACGACGCGCGATGGTCACAGCTGTCTTCCCCGAGCCTGGCGCCGCCGGCTTATCGACGACTCGATCAGAGAGGCCAACCACTGCGGGTTCGAACACCCGATGACGACCGTGCGTCGCATCACCGAGACGCGATGCAGGCGCAGTCGTGGAGGTGGTTCACCATACGTCACCACAACACCAGCGAGTGGCGATGCGTTGGTGCCGCGATGGTGATGACCACCAAGGTGATATGGTGTGGATGGTGGTGAGGCTGGAGGGTGTGCGTTTTGCGTTTTCCTCGTGGACTGCGCTTTTATTGCCGCCAGCGTGTGCAGCAAACGCGCCCGTATGAGGACGTATAATGGATGGGCCTGTGCGGAGGTGTCATGGGATGCACCCTGTGTGTGAGTGTGTGCGTGTGTGTGTGTGTGTCAGAAAGGGGAAGGGGGTGACAAAGCATGCAAAGCAGACGACGATGGCACGCCCGGCACGCCTCAGCTTGAGAGGGAAAGAGAGAGAGATAGAGGGGGAGGAGGGGGAGAGGGCCCTGACCGGAGCGGCCGCTCTGCCGGAGCCGGGCGAGCCGGCCGGCGTTATCTATGGCGGCATTAGCGGCCACAGTCCCAGTCCCCGGTGAGCGAGCGAGCGGTGCGGACGGACACGGCCCTTCGAGCAGCAGCACTCCAGCCATCCACTCGCACTCCAGCACCGGGCTCTCAGCGCACAGGTGAGGCAGGTGACGGGCAGGGCCGCGAGCGTCCAAGTGTTTTGTTTTCGCCGGGTGGCGGCTGTACTACAGGAGGCCTTGTTTGCGCGTCCAATACTGCGGGGGAGGGGGCCATCGACATAAAAGTAAAGGGGATTCGTTTCCAGGAATTATTTTTTATTTTCTGTTTGAGATGAGATTGCGCATTTACGCTCACGCTGTATACCTTAGCTGTACTCGGTGTCTTTTGGTCACCCCTGCTGTCAGCCCGCGCTGTGAAAATGAATTCCCTGCGCCGACCACAACGACAACTGCCATCGCCGGCTTATCGTGGTGTGGTTTAGAATAAATTGAAGAA